TTCAGACCATGATTCTGTGCCTTTGCATTTTTCCGGAAAATCTATAGACGGTCTGAAAGGATTTTCACACTTGTTATGAATCATAGAAACCCCAGCGTATACCTGCATAGACGGACTTTGTCTGGTAACATACCGTTTTGCATGGTAACATACCATTTTCTGATTTTATATACATTGGTTGAATCTGTCAGGCCATCTTCTTGTGTGAGCATGAAGGTGTGTGTGGCCAGTGCAGAGCCACATACCCTGAAATTTTGGGCCAAGTCCTACCATTTCTAACCCTGGAGCAAGACATTCTGTACAGCAGGGGTCACTGCTGTGTTGAAAGCCTTTTTTTGCAGAGCGGGTGCTCTAGAAACTCCAGGCTGGTGTGCAAACCAGAGCCCAGCTTGTGAACCACGTAACCATCCCCCACAGTGATGGGGAAGGGGGTGCTGGGCTTGGGACTGAAAACATCCAAATTTGCAAATTGCAGAGGGATAGCCGTGCTCCTCACGGGCCAGGCTGGTTGAAATTCCCCAGACCTGCAATACAATTGCTTTCAAATCAAATCTGATAGAATGCAGAAATATACTCCCTTAAAAAATGTTTACTGAAAAATGTAACACACTGCTTTCTCTTCACAGATTCTTTTTAAAATTTTTCCTCAAGTGCAATCAGAATTGTTTGAAAACAGCAGGAAACCCAAGGGATATGAGACGGTTTCAGGTAAGGGGCTCTGCAGATCTTTCCTGTTAAATAAGTCGTCCTGTTTTCTCTCTCCTCACTCTTTCTCTTTTCTTTTCCTTTTTTCTTAAAAACTATTACTCACTGATGCTACTAACAGTATGAACAGTAACTGTAAATGATAACCCTCATCTGCTGGCACTGAGGGTTTCTTCATTTTGTAGTGTTTTGGCTTTTCTGCCTCCACTGCCAAAGCCCCACGGGGAGAGGCACCAACCCATGCTGGAGATTTGATTTTGAGCCCCCAGGCTGCCCATGGCGTGCATACACAGCTGCCCACCGCAGGAACCACCGTGTTCTTGATATTCAGCTACCCTGGGATTTTTNGCACCGCACTCTACCGAGTGAGCCACGGGCCGGCCTGCTTGTGTGATTTATAAGAAGAAATGTATATTTAGTCTTCGTCCCTGGTTTCTGGCATACCAGCTCCTAAAACCCTTGGAATCTCTGAAGTGATGTGTCTTTTTGTATGCTGATGAATGACTGACAGTTAGGGGGTCCCTAAGGATGGACCCCCCTGGATAAGGATAAGGATAAGCCCCCCCGCCAGGATGGGGGCTGATTGCCAGGGTAACCAACCTTGTGATTAGAGGGTTGGAACTTTCAGCTCCACCCCCCAGCATGGGGGAGCAGAGAAGGGCTGAAGGTCGAGTTGATCCCCAATGGCCAGTGATTTATCAGTCATGTTGAAGTAATGAAGCATCCATAAAACCCAAAAGGGGCTGCTGATTAGCTCAGTTGGTGACAGTGCAGTGTTGTAACACCAAGGTCGATGGTTCAGATCCCTGTACTGGCCAGCTGCCAAACAAACAAACAAACAAACAAAAAGGACAGTGTTTGAAGAGCTTCTAGATTGCTGCAGAAGAGCTTCTGGAGGTACCTGGAAGGTGGCAGGCACTGAGAGCTCCGCGTCCATGCCATAGGCATCTGTCTCTTCCATCTGGCTGTTCATCTACATCCTTTATAATATCATCTATTAATATAAGAAACCAGCAAATATAAGTAAATATTTCCTTGAGCCCTGTGAGCCATTCTAGCAAATTAATCAAATCAGGGTAGTGGGAGCCCTGATTTATAGCCAGTCAGTCAGAAATCCAGGTGACAACTTACTACTTATGATTTGTGTCTGAATTGGGGGGTGGGGGCTGTCTTGTGGAGCTGAGCCCTTAACCTGTGGGATCTGATGCTATCCCCAGGTAGACAGTGTCAGAATTGAGAAGGACATCCAGTTGGTGGCTTCTGCAGAATTGCTTAGTGTGGGACGTGTGGTGTCAGAAGTGAAGAGATGTGCTAAGTGGTGAGCGTGAGAGTCAGAAAACAGTTTGGTTTTTTACCTCTACAGGACCTGAAGTAAGGGTGTGGGCCCTTTCAATGACTATGGTGCTCCTGCCACAGCTCAGAGGCATCTACAGAACTGGGAACTGTGCTATTGGTCTAGAGTCTAATGCCAACTTTTGAATTAAGTTCTGCTACCAGTGCCTTTATTTTCATGGCAAATCATGTGGCAGATCATCATTTGGAATCCTTGCAGCTTGGGAAGAGAAGATATAATTCAGAAGCCTCTAGGGATCCCTAAGGATTCTAGGGATCAAGTCAGAGGGTCTGGAGTGTCATGCAATTTCTCCATCAGAGGTTTTACCTGCTCTGGAAAAGATGGAATCCACTGTGGAAAATATCCTGCTAGTCCCCAAATTGTCTGAATTCTTTTTTATTTTTGTTGTAGGTCATTTTATCTGTAAAACTGGCTAACTCCTAGATTATAATACTTGTGGCCTTTGGTGAAAAGTGCTCTAAATATGCTGCCTAAGTTTGGCAGTATTGCAACTTGTCTGGTGAGGTCTTCAGCCCCTGTGAGGCAAGGACTTCTAACAAAGCCACAGTATCAGTTTTGCATTGCTCACCAGCACATCATCCACATACAGTAGTCCCCCCTTATCCACGGTTTCCCGCTCTGCGGTTTCAGTTATCTGTGGTCAATTGCACTCTGAAAATATTAAATGGAAAATCCCAGAAGTAAACAATTTATACATATTGAGCTGCGCCCCATTCTAAGTAGCACGATGAGATCTTGCACCATCCTGCTCTGTCCTGCCCCGGGAAGTGAATCATCCCTTTTCCAGCAGATCCATGCTGTCCGCACCACCCACTCATTAGTCACTTAGTTGCCGTCTTGATTATCAGATCGACTGGGGTACTGCTGTGCTTTCATTCACATAACCCTTATTTTATATCATAATGGCCCCACAGCTGATAGGAGGAGTGAGATCTGGTGGCCTCTCTGTAGCGCTGTAGGGTGACTCCAGTGAACAACAATTTATGGTATATTTGCAGTTAGCTAGAACAGAGGGTTCTGAATGTTCCCAACACAAAAAAATGATAAATGTTAGAGATGACGGGTATGTTAATTAACCTGATTTGATCATTACACATTGTCTACATGTATCAAAATATCACAAAGTACCCCATAAATATGTACAATTATTACGTGCCAAGAAAAAATTGCCCTCCAGGGCTGGCTGGTTAGCTCACTTCGTTAGAGTGCAGCCTTATAACACCAAAGTCACAGGTTCGGATCCCCATACCGGTCAGCTGCCAAAATAAAATTACCCTTACTTTAAAAAAAAAATCAAAGTTTGTGTTAGATACTACCTTCAATCTCTGTCCACTCCTTAGGGGTGGCCACTGTGATCAGTGCATATGATTCTTCTAGGCCTTACTGTCAACTTGTAGACATACAGAGACATATGCATGTACATGCAGAAACTTCTTCCCTCCTGCGTAGAATCACAGTATAAACTGTGGCGCTAGCTTTCTTCCCCCTTAACTATTTCCTATTTATAGACATTTAGGTTGTTTTAAAATTTTAATTATAAGTGAAGCTGCAGTGATCCCTTAGCACATCCATCTCTGTGCATGGGTGTGAGGATCCTGTATCATGGAATCTTAGAAGTCAAAATGTGTGGTGTCAGAAAGTTAAGAATTTTGATAGATTCTGCCAACTGTCCTCTGAAAGAATTTACTAAATCCAGCTGCCACCAACAGTGTATGACACTGCTCATTTTCCCACATCTTCACCAGCACTAAATGCTATTTATGTTTTAAATGTTTGATAATCTGATGGGTGATAAATAGTAGCTTACTGATTTTAGCCTGCATTTATTTCATTAATGATGAGGTTGGACATCTTTTCAAAAGTTTATTGACTGTATTTATTCTATGAGTTTGTGCGTATATATTCTTTGGCTATTTTCTTATTAGATTTTTTTCTTATTGATTTGTGTGAGCTCTTTATATACTATAGTTCTTTGTCTTTTGTTTCTTTGTTCTTTCTACTATATCCTGGTTCTAAGAACTTAGGTTAGAGTGTGAGTGATTAGAGCCAAACTGATTGAACTCCTGTGTCCTGGTTAATGTTCTCTATCTATGGCTAAAAATCACCTTTAGCTTTGAACTACTCAGCTGCTAGATTATTGCTGTGAGCTAAATTATCAAAATGATAAAGACCTCCAAAATCAATTCCATTTAACTTTGGAGGGTTGGGCTTAGATCAAAATTAAAGTTAACTGGCCTCATCTGAGCATATACTACTTACTAGCAATGGTAGAAAGCTAGCAGAAAAATATTGTATGGGATGAACATTTTACCATGTATGATTCAGATTGTAGGTTACCCACTTATATGGTGTGTTGGCAGTGTCGTAAACTCTTGACAAATAAAATCTGAATGTAATCTCCAGAAGGGCAGGGATTTTCATCTGTTTGGCTCAAGGTCAGGGAGAATAGAATGAGGTGGGGAGACTGTTCTGGTTTGGAGAAGACTAAAGAAGTCCCCAGTGCCTAGCACGTAATAGGCACTTAATAAAGACCTGCTGAATGCAAATAGTTTTAACAACTCAAATATTCTATAGAAACTGTGTCCTGGAAGGGAGGGAAACTCTCACAGAGGCCTAATGGTCTCTTCCAAAGAAATCAGTCTTGAGATACATATTCTGGTTCTGGCATGACCTGGAACAGGTGACTTAACCTCTCTGAGCCTCAGTTTCCTCATCTATAAAATGGGATTAATAATATTAACACCACAGGGTTTTGGGGAAGATGAAAGGAGATAATAACAACAAAGGCAGGGTCTGGCAGGTGGTGAGTCTAATCCTTGTTATCTCCTTCCCGTCCCCCACTGCTGCATGACTGCGTTTCTAGTTCTTTAAAAATATAACTGAATTTCCAGAGGTGTCCTTTCCTTTAGACATCAACATCTCTCATCTTGTCTCAGCTACACAGTTTGCTGGATGCTTCTGAGTTGCCTCTAACCTCAGGCTGGAGGATCTTCCCCCTCCACCCAGAAATAGATTCCTTAGAACTGGGAATCCAGCTCCCTCCTCTTTCTCCACACTTTGCCTTTCAAATAACCTCACCTGTCCCCTACCCCTGGCTTCAGCGGTCTCCCAGGCTGCAATTTTAATTCTTTTCCTTTGCTGAGTATGAAAAGGACCAAAAAACCGTGTGCTACGTGAGTATGCCCAGTCATAAATATTACGACTGCTATCATTTATTGGGCACCTCCTAAGTGTCAGCCCTTTTCCTTCATAACACCACTCCATCTTCCCAGAACCCCTGTGCAGGAGGGACTGTTATTCCTGTTTTATAGGCGACGATACTGAGATTCAGGGAAGTTGTTTGTTTCAAGCCACCCAAAAGGTAAATGGCAGAGCCAAGATTTTAACTCAGAACTGTCTGACATCAAAGTCTTTGTCCATTCATTTCCTTCTTTTTAAAACTATCCCTGGGCTGGCTGGTTAGCTCACTTCGTTAGAGTGCAGCCTTATAACACCAAAGTCACAGGTTCGGATCCCCATACCGGTCAGCTGCCAAAATAAAATTACCCTTACTTTAAAAAAAAAATCAAAGTTTGTGTTAGATACTACCTTCAATCTCTGTCCACTCCTTAGGGGTGGCCACTGTGATCAGTGCATATGATTCTTCTAG